TATTTTTAAATACGCAGTAGAGGTATTTAAAGGTAGTAGAGGACATGTACCTGTATATAAAAAACGCGCCTTTTAGTACGGTGCGCCTTATGGTCGTGAAAATACGGTGGTTAATTTCGGGGTTTTTTAGTATCGTTTCTCCATAGTTCATAAAAGATGTTTTAGTGCAGCAATAATGATCAGAGCTGCTCTCTGTTCCTTCTACGTTAAAATCCATTCTACCGGCTTTTATTTGAACGTTTGGAGTTTAACCTCCTTGATATTTATTTATTTTTTATCTGCAGAAACGATGACAGCTTTCAGGTAATGTTCGTCTCACCCAAAAAACTCATGGATCAGCTTCTCTGATCAAGCAGCAGAAGTTGGCCTTTTAAACTACAGAGTCGAACCCTCCGACGCGCCGCTAGACCCTCGACGGCGCCCCCCATAGACTTGGTGTGTGAATCGAACAGCACCTCTCAGGGAGCCGATCATCTCTGCATATTTTTATGCATAAAATATATTACTATGATTATTACTATGATCTACATGTGATCCATTTAATACTAGTTTAGTTGTAGGACGTTCTATTTAATTTCCTATAATAAAAGCGATTCCAAAGGTGGAACAGAGTTTGTCTAAAACAGCAACAGTCAAGTTCAGCCTTATTTCCAGGCTGGCGGCTGCTCTCCTGGCATACTGGGAACCAACATGAGGGTCCTATCCTGTCTGTTCCTCTGTGAGGACGGACCAGTGACATTAATAACCGGCGAGTTCGATGGTTTCTGTGCTTAGGGACGGTTTTCCTGCAGCAATGGAGGCCAGACTCACAGATGACGATGAGGATCATGCAGAAGAGCTGGATGCCTGAGCCCAGCAGGGAGCTGAGGATCATGGGATACTGAGGCGGTCTGAAGACATCGCCGTGGACGTTCTTCCACCCCGACTCCTCCATGGTGTCCTCCTGTTAGAGCCCAATAAAATATAATCGTTCTGAATGTGGGAAAAAAGCATCTCCTCTCTGGCGGCGTGAGTTTTCTTACAATGTCGTCCTCTCTGTTGTAGTTAGCGATGTCCTTCCGCAGCGTCCTGATGATGATCATGCTCAGAATGCCTGGAGGACGAGACGCAGAGGGGGGGGGGGGCAAAATAGACCATTAAGAATACTGGCAGAAGTTATTTTTAAAATAATTGTGATAAACATATTCAATATTA